TATATCTCAATGAAAAGGAATACTGAACATCCACAATGCTCCAGGCACCATACTAGGATGGAACAGTGAACAAACCATGCAAAATACTTGCTTCCATGGATCTTACATCTTCTCTGGGGGAGGGAAAAGATATTAACCATAACAATTTTAAAAATGAGATAATGTATTAGAAAGTAATGAATGTTATGGTGAAATATATGGAGCAGAATGAGGCATGCTGAGGGATGAAGGCTGTAGTCACATCTAGGGATGTGAAGCTGTTGTTTGAACAAAGACCTGATTGATGGAAGGGAGTGGGACAACGTAGGTCCTCAGGGAAGGTACTTCAAGACAGAAGAAACGGCTAGTGCAAAGGTCCTGAGGCTGCAGCGTATCTGGTATATTCAAGGAAGGTGGCCGGTGTGATTAGAGCAGAGTAGTGAGGAAAGGCATAACAGGTAATAAGACAAAGAGAGATAACAGGGCCAAATCACATAGGGTTTTATAAGCCTCTGGAGGGTTTCTAGCTTTTGCTCTGAGTGCGATGGGGAGTCATTAGAGGGATTTTAGAAGAAAACTCACTTAATCTGACTTGCATTTTAAAAGGGTCACACTGGCTGATATGTTGAGCTCCGATTTTGGGGAGAAGCCACGAATGTAGAAGCAGGGAAACCAGTTAGGAGGTTTTCACACTAACTGAAGAGGAAGATAATGGCTTGGCCCAGGATGGAAGAGGTGAAGGTGGTGAAAAGTGGTCAGGTTCTGAATATATTTTAAAGGTGCAGCCTACAGAATTTCCTAGATGGACTGGATGTAGGTGTCAGAAAAAGAGTGACAACAAAATGACTCCAGGGTTTTCAAGCCTGAGCTAACAAAAGGATGGGCCTACATTAAACAAATCAGGAATACGTAGGTAGAAGAAGTTTTAGGGGGAAGATAAGGATTGCAGCTTGGATGTTCTATATTTGAGACATCTTTCAGACACAGAAGTGAAGATGCCATTGTCTGGGCTGCAGGAGTTAGTGGTATCCAGGTGGCATTTAAAGCCATGAACCTTAGCACAGGGAACTATACTTGATATTTTGTAATAAAAGGGAAAAGAATCTAAAAAGGAATATATATATATATCTGAATCGCTGTGCTGTACACCTGAAATTACCATGATATTGTAAATCAACTATTATTCAATTAAAAAAAAAAGAATAAAAAAATACATAAATAAAGCCATGAACCTAGTAAAAAGCAGTTCAAACACTGAAGTTTGGGTCATTTCAACATTAAGAGATTGGGGAGAAGAGGAAAAAAAAAATCAAAAAAGAAGTCTGAGAAAAATTGACCAGTGAGGTATAAGGAAGATGGGGGGAGGGTGATTCCTTAGAATCAAGTGAAGCAAGTATTTATGGGAGGATGGATTGCTCAAGTGCATCAAATTCAGTTAAGTACAATGAGAATGGCGAACAAACGACTCAACTTAGCAACGTGGTAGCAAAATCTGACAAGAGGCATTTTGGTGGAGCGGTGGGGACAAAAGCCTCTCTGGAGTGACTGAGAAATATGGAGGGAGGATTTACAGACAGTGAATGTACATTCCTCTTCTGAAGTGATGACTGTAAATGAGAGCAGAGAAATAAGGGTAGCTGGAGGGGCAGGGGGCGTCAAAGAGAAATTCACTGGTATATTCTTTTTTAATGCGAGGAATAACTGAAATAACTATGTTTGAATGCTGGTGGGAACGATCTAGTAATGAATTAGTTGAGACAGAAAAACTTCTGATGACAAAGAGGGGAAAAGCTGTCTAGAATTGTCCTCAAGGAAGGGAAAGGGGATGGAAAGTAGAATACAACCCGAACGGCTGGCCTTAAATAGAAGTACCATCTTACAGCATCAGGAGGGAAGACAGTATAGGAGTAGAAATGCTGGGAGGTGACAGACGCAGTTGTGGGAGTTTATACATTACCATACATTAAATATATCAAATATCTCTCTACATCCTTAAATGCTTCTGAACTCTATTCTCGTTTTCTACTTCCCTTGAAGAACCACTTTGCTGCAATTATTTTAGCTTTAGAATATATTTTAATATCTTGAAGGATAAGCGCCCTCTTCCCATTCTATTCCAAAATTATGTTGATGTTGTTAAAAATATATTCTTCCAGCAAACTTTAGAATCACTGGGTCAAGTTAAAATATAATTCCCCTTGAAATTCGGACTTGAACTGAGTTCAATTTGTTCATTAGATTTTGGAGTTTTGACGCATTTAGAATATAAAGTCTTCATTTCTAGGAACACATTAAGGATTGCTGTCTTACTTTATAAGAGTTTTCTCTCCACGGTTACCTTAAATATGTCAACAGGTCGTTAATAAATGACATGCTCAGTTCAGAGATTTTTAAAATGACATAAATCATAGTCACTTGTTGACTGGTTAACTTACAGACTGTTGTAATCCTCAGGACACCCAGGTCAAACTGACAAGCCAGAGATACTCAGGAGAGCAACAGGGTAAGAAAATACCGTCTATACTGTGGAGCAGTGAGAGGAGTTGCTTCTTGGGAGGGCAGGATAAGGGAACACTGCTGAAGGAAAATTCATCAAAAAATGAACCTGAATAAGTAATGGCAGCTCCTCTCGGACCCTGGCACATGTTCATAAAGACGTGACTGTCTTTCCACTTTGCTGTGACTGAATCTAGAAGGAGTAGAAGGTAAGTAGCTCAGAAACTGGAAACCTCCATTCCATAGGACAGACATTTTTTAGGTTTTATGTAGCACTTTCTGCCAGGGGTCCTGGAGACAGAAAAGTCTCTTCCAAAAGGATGTCATTTATACAATTTGGAATCTCTTTCTTCCTTTAGCATAGCTCTGCCCAGAGATGAGTGTGAATAAGCTGGTCACATTGGAAGGTCTGTTTCTCATTCAGCATGATGCCTACATGCTCAAGAGGAAAGGGGAGAGCATTGGGATGACTGAAAACAGACATGGGGGTCTTGAGAACTGTGGGCCCACAGTGAAACACAGGCCCATAGTTAAAATGAATGTTTGGGGCTTCCCTGGTGGCGCAGTGGTTAAGAATCTGCCTGCCGATATGGGGATGCGGGTTTGAGCCCTGGTCCGGGAAGATCCCATATGCCACGGAGCAACTAAGCCCGTGCGCCACAACTACTGAGCCTGCGCTCTAGAGCCCGTGAGCCACAACTACTGAGCCCACGAGCCACAACTACTGAAGCCCGCGTGCCTAGAGCCCATGCTCCACAACGAGAGAAGCCACCGCAATGAGAAGTCCAGGCACCACAATGAAGAGTAGCCCCTGCTCGCCACAACTAGAGAAAGCCCTCATGCAGCAATGAAGACCCAACGCAGCCAAAAATAAATAAATAAAATAAATACATTAAAAACAAAGTTTGTTTAGCATAGAGCATCAGAAAATTATCATTTTTGCTTTGGCTATATGTTTAGAATGTTTAGACAGTTTGGATAAGTCAATTAATTTTATTTTATTCTTCAAAACAAAATGTTATCTTCATGGAACTCCACATTTGGAATTTTAAGTCAATGGGAATATATAAATTGATTGATGGGAAACTTCCCAGAAACACATACACTAAAGAATGCAATAGCAGCAATTAAGACTCAATTTTAAAACTTAAATTTGAGAAGGCAAGTTTTCAAGTTAAAAAATGCAAAATGACTGATAGCCTAAGTTCAGGCCATTAATACTACTACATGATCCAAAGTGAAGAGTAATTGTAACAATAAGAAGATAACGTGACGTTCAATAGTTTGCACATCAGGAAGTGAATTTCCCTATAATTGTGGAAAGAATGAGAAAACTTTATCGATGGTGGAGAATGCAGAGAGGACCACAAAAGAGGACAGTCATCAGTCTGAAGTAGTCATAGGGCAACCCAGACCACGACACCAATGTAGAGGGTTAAAGTTTGGAGAAGATGAGACTGACAAAAAAGAGAGAAGAATTAGACAGCTGACACCTTCTGAAAGTCACAATGCAGTCGGAGGTGGACAAAATTACCAGAACGCTTTATCCTCTTATATAAAAGGCGTATTTTATGGCAGAAATACTTAAAGAAAACCCTGAACATTCAGGGGGTAATACAGATAACCTCTTTTTAAAAATCTTCCATATAAAAATATGGCTTGATACTACAGATATATTAAATGATATAGTTACAAAAGGATTTTTCTTTTACAATTATTAATTATGGGATGCCTTTAATAACAAGCTTTCTCCAAAATATTCAATATTTAATTTTAATTTGCAGAAATTCCATTGGCATGTACTTATGTCATGAAAACAACTATTGTGAAAATTGAGGCATAATTACCAACACAGAACACAAGTACACAGAGAGATTTAGGATTTCTTAAGGGCTAGATATGTAAGTGAAGAGCCTACTTTAATCAAGTGAGATAACACAGTGCAGCTTAGAAAACAGTGGCCTGGTTTCCTATCATTTATGACCTTATCAAGTCATTTAAACTTCCGTGTCTCAGTTTTCTCCTTTGTACAAGGATGATCTTAAACTAGACGACTTGAAATCTCCCTCATCTATGATTTCATTTTGCTTATGGGTTTGAATTTTCAAATTGAGGATAAGCTATTTTTATACTTATATACAAGTGCTACACTTTTCATCTGAAAGTAGTCATGAAAAAGATTTTCAACAAGTAACCTGTAGTATTATTAACAAAACAAAAAGATTCATGCTATATGCTAACATGATAATCCAACTTTGATTTCAGTTAACAGTTTTGTTAAAAGCACTTTTCCAACTACATCTCTATGGTTCATACAAATAATTTTTCTATTTTCCATCTCCTGGTTGAAACCATCATTAAAATAAGAAAAACTGCAACACACAAGAAACATCTCCTTCAATACTAGAATTTCAAGTCAGTTGAGATTACAGAGGTACAAAAAAGCCTGGTACATATACTGTTTTTACTACTGAAATTTCTGTATGATGCTTCTAAATGTGGCTAAGGTTAGGAATTGATCTTACCTTCTGTCGAAGAAAGGGAACCCACTTGCAGTCTACCAGTTCCTGGCGATACTGCTGTGTAAAGGATCCAACGTAAGACACATATGCCGCCATAAGGAGAACATCTCCACAGAGCGTCTTCTCTTGAGCTTCGAAGGACTGAACAGACTGACCCCAGCGAATCTTCTCTGACTGAAAGATAAGATTACTCCGATGTAACTGCAGGGTGAGCAGCAACTCAAGAAACGTTTAATGTAATTACCTTATTCCTCAGTTTACGTCTAGGTCACTCTGCACAGCCTTGAGAAGGAACAGAACATGACTGGATGGCATGACCATGATAATCGTTCATACATGTGACCCATCATTATGAAGGTGCTCTCATAGTATCTTCAGTGGAGTTTACGGCAACATGACATTAGATCTTTAACATCTCCTTTTGTTGGATGCCCGAACTCTAATTATGACTGAGGTCCTTCTTAAAAGGCTGACAGTCACTCTCCTCCCCTCTAGCAGTAGAGGACCAAGAGCTGTGGCCAAGACTGAGTGATGTTAGGATTTTTAATGGCAGCTTGGATGCTCTCCATCATTCCTGATTTTCAGCAATATTACTACACCACCCTAAGCAAACATTATCTTAAACATTTGGGCCATGGGCTGATTACAGAAAAAGGAAAATGACAAACACCAGTTATGTCAATTAATTAAAACATAAAGTTTAAAGAGCCACCTAACAAGGATTCTGTAAATTAAAGAATAGCGCTGGTAGTTACTAAACTCAGGTTATTTTTATAGTATAATCACTCAATCAGTGAAAGAACTTACAGCCCATGTAAAAAAGATGGAGGCCAGGAGGACTTCACTAGCTCTGAAGACAGTATGCTCGGAGAATGCTGTTCAAATCCTTACATCTAGTTGGCTAGCCATTTAAAATCTGATTTCCGGGTTAAGTATGTGGAGCCCTTAATATTGGATTTGACTAAAACTGCAATAAATATCTATGGATTGACTGAACTGCAGAGTACTTCACTAATTCATCTGGTTTCAATGCATGCTAAAATTTAATACCACATTCTAAGAACATGTAAATTAATAGGAACTGAAAGAAACACCCAGCAAATTGATAGTACAAGCAATGAAGAACCCTGTGGAATTTAGCTTTACTCATCAAAGGGGAGAGACAGACCACAGAAAGCAAAAACAATGTACGTCAGAGCAGACTGCAACGCCAGTTCTCTGCAAGCCATCACAATACCGCTAACACTGAGGTAATGAAACTAGCAGGTGACAATGGTTATGAAAGCTATTTTAAGATAATCTGCTTTGCTCGATAAAGATCACCCCAAGTTAGCTCTATAATTACACACTAGAGAACTTCAACTCCCTTGCCCTCTTTATAGAATTTATTACTTTCCTTCTTCAGCTACAGATAATATATCCATTAATTTTGAAGAAGAATCTCTCATTTGCTTTTCCTCCAACTTTGTTGTCTTTGGTTAGTAGATGATAAACAATAAAGGGCACCCACCTCATTCTCCAAAACAGCTTTGAAATTTGAAGATTTACTAAACACAGACTTACCAGCGATTGAAATCGTCAATAATTTCACTATACCACCCACGCAACATAAATCATTACTGACACTGGCTAACAAGGGTTTAAGAGTTGGAACATGTCCTGTAATAAATTTCTAGACAGTTAAAAATCACTATAATTTTATTCTAATGCATTATAGATTGCCTGTAATGTCATCCTGGCTGGGGTGACCCATTTCTAATTTTGAACAGCTGTTCAGCTCCAGAGCTACTTAATGATTAAATATAAATTGCCTGATTTATTAGTCTGAATGGTTGAGACTATAGCTTCCAGGTCAATGCTATATAGACAAAATCATCAGTCTTGGTGTTTTTCAGAAGTTAACTGTCTCCTGTTCTAGTCAGAAAGAATTTATCCTCAAAGGAAAAGGTCTGACATTTTCAATTAATCCTTTAAAAAAAATATATATATATATATACACACACATGTATTTTTTTTGTTAGTTAACATTATTCAACCATTTTTTCCTCTCCTTTTCTAAATCATCATGAATAAATAAAGCCTTTGGAAGACATTGTTGTGTGCTAGAGATACAAGGTAAAGCCTGTTTTTACCTTGATAAAACTTTCAGACATTCTCTACTTCAAGTAAGTCTAATTCAACGGCACTTTTTCTTTTCCACAGGTACCTCATAAACCATAAACCCTTCAAACTGCCTAGATCTTATCACTTTAAATGGAAGCCGGTATAAACTCCACTAGAAGCTGTGGAATTTCTCAACTGATCTAAGAAAAATGAGTCTTCAAAGGGCTCCAGAATGTTTTTTCAACACAGGAGGCTCCCAAAACTCACCCATTCATTCATTCAACAAATACATATTGGAACCTATGATGTGCCAGGGACCATTCTATATGCTTGGGATCAAGCAGTGCAGAAAAAAAATGAAGTTCCTGCTCTTGAGAGCTTATATTTTAGTTAGGGGAAAAAGACCACAAAAAAGTATATGTGTTCATATATGCACATATACAGTGTGTGTCATGTGATCGTAAATGCTATCAAAAAATAATAAAGCAGAGGAAGTGGAAAGAGCTACAGGTTTGCGTGTGTGGCTGTGTGTGTGTGTGTGTGTGTGTGTGTGTGTATGCAGGGGGCAAGGTGAATGCTGTTTAATGTAGGGAGGTCAGGGAAAACCGTGTGATAAGGAGAACTTTTAGCAGACATCTGAAAGAAGTGCGGGAGCCACACGGAGGAAAAAGGCAAAGGTTATGAGGTAGGAGAGTGACTTGCAGGGTGAGGAACAGGGAAGATGGAGCCGGAGGGAAGGTGGCAGAAGCAAGGACAGAGGTGTCCAGGAGCCAGATCACGGGGAGCCCTGTAGGCCAGGTAAAACCTTTGGACTGTACTTTGAGTGAGACAATTAGTTACCCGGGAATTCTGACAGAGTGGTAACATGAATGGACTTAATATTTTTTTTCTTTGCAGTACGCGGGCCGCTCACTGTTGCGGCCTCTCCCGTTGCGGAGCACAGGCTCCGGACGTGCAGGCTCAGCGGCCATGGCTCACGGGCCCAGCCGCTCCGCGGCATGTGGGATCTTCCCGGACCGGGGCACGAACCTGTGTCCCGTGCATCAGCAGGCGGACTCTCAACCACTGCGCCACCAGGGAGGCCCTGGACTTAATTTTTTAAAAAACATCACTCAGCTGCACAAAGGGGAGTGGACCTTGGGGGTGACGGTGGAGGCTACAGCGGTACTCCAAGGGAGAGATGCTGGTGGCCTTGGATCAGTGTGGCGAGGACAAGGTGGTGAGAATGCTGGGATTCTGAATGGACTTTGAAGGTAGAGCCAGTCCAACATGCTGAAGGATTGGATATGGGTGTGAGAAAGAGAGCAAAAGGGTGATTTCAGAGCTTCTGACCATAACAACTAGAAGAAAAGACTTGCAATTAATGAAACGGAATGGAGGTGAATTTTGCAGAGTGAACTATGAGTTTATGTATAATAAACTATGAACTTCAGAGGGATGATGGGTTTAAATTTGTAGTAAATTTAAATTAGATTTTTTTTTTTTTTTTTTTTGCGGTACACGGGCCTCTCACTGCTGTGGCCTCTCCCGTTGCCGAGCACAGGCTCCGGACGCGCAGGCTCAGCGGCCATGGCTCACGGGCCCAGCCACTCCACGGCATGTGGGATCCTCCTGGACCGGGGCACGAACCTGTGTCCCCTGAAGTGGCAGGCGGACTCTCAACCACTGCGCCACCAGGGAAGCCCTAAATTAGATTTTTTAAAGTCTACTCTATTTATAAGAAATCAGGCTATCACCCAGCCCCACCCATTGTACCTTACATTTCTCCCTTCTTTCTTTGTAAGAGAACTCTGATTCTCAAATGAGGGTTAATGTGTCCAGCCCTCTGGGATGAACTGTGACTGGCTAAGCTGATTATGATCACCCCATTTCTCAGTTTCCCTGCCTGCTTTGCAGCTAGGTGTGGTCACTCTAGTTCTGGCTAAAGAAAGTTAAGTGCTTTAGTTAAGTTTGCTTAAGGGGTTGCCAGGAAAACTTCAGTTTTTGTTATGAAAGGAGAAAAATCCAGCTGCTACAGATTCTTCTCTCTTGCCTGAATCTAAAGGTGTAATATCCATCAGTGACCAGGCTGCAAACTGTGTGAGGGTGAATGGACACATGCTAAGTATGGAGCAGCAGAAGGCTGTACAGAGATTAGGGGTCTGATCACTAATTACCTGAATCAACACTGATAATGGCCTACCTCTGGAATTTTTTTAATATGTGAAAAACTCCCATTTGTTTAAGCCACTGTAAATCAACTTTTCTATCACCTTCAGCCAAATGCATTTCTTTTTTTAATTTTTATTTTCTTTATTTTTTTACCATCTTTATTGGAGTATAATTGCTTTACAATGGTGTGTTAGTTTCTGCTTTATAACCAAGTGAATCAGCTATACATATATATATATATATATATATATATATATATATATATATTCCCGTATCTCCTTCCTCTTGCGTCTCCCTCCCACCCTCCCTATCTCACCCCTCTAGGTGGTCACAAAGCACGGAGCTGATCTCCCTGTGCTATGTGGCTGCTTCCCACTAGCTATCTATTTTACATTTGGTGCATATATATCCATTCCACTCTCTCAGTTCGTCCCAGCTTACCCTTCCCACTCCCCGTGTCCTCAAGTCGATTCTCTACGTCTGCGTCTTTATTCCTGTCCTGCCCCTAGGTTCTTCAGAACAATTTATTGTTTTTTTTCTTAGATTCCATGTATATGTGTTAGCATACAGTATTTCTTTTTCTCTTTCTGACTTACTTCACTCTGTATGACAGACTCTAAGTCCATTCACCTCACTACAAATAACTCAATGTCATTTCCTTTTATGGCTGAGTAATATTCTATTATATATATGTGCCACATCTTCTTTATCCAGTCATCTGTCACTGGACACTTAGGTTGCTTCCATGTCCTGGCTATTGTAAATAGAGCTGCAATGAACATTGTGGTACATGTCTCTTTTTGAATTACTGTTTTCTCAGCGTATATGCCCAGTAGTGGGATTGCTGGGTCCTATGGTAGTTCTATTTTTAGTTTTTTAAGGAACCTCCATACTGTTCTCCATAGCGGCTGTATGAATTTACATTCCTACCAACAGTGCAAGAGGGT